AAAAAAAAAAAAAGAAAAATACGGTTTCTAAAAGGAAAAATAATCCTAACTAGGGTTCTTCAAGTGGATTACGCATCCAGTGACAACGGCTAGAATAACGCCTCGCTCATAGTAGGTGCTGCATAAATCCACTGTTTGTAAGATAAACTCACATAGGTCTTGAAAAAGACTTTTCAAGATTCCACCCAGAAGGCAATTAAAAATGAATTATCTGTTTACATCAGCAACAAAACCCATCTTCATTATTAGAGTGGGAGAAATGTTTGCTGGGGGAGAAGCTCTGCCTGGAGACAGGAAATGAAGCATAAAAATAAAAGCTCTTCTCAGGAGGCCACAGAGCTGCGTGGGCCATCTGCCTCCCACTCCCACTCTTCAGCTGAGGTAGGTCCAGAAATGGCTGGGGACAGACCTGGAAGGTCCAGATGTCCATCCAGGGAGGACAACCCCACCCGGAGCTCTAGGGGTACAGGTGCGGGAAGGACACCTCCAGCTGTGTCCCTCCAATCAATGGCTGTCACACCTCCTCTCCTTGGCACCACAGGGATAAACTGACAGGGTGGATATACTAGGCCAGTGGGCTAGGAGCCCTATCCAACTACAGACATCGGAGAAGCCGCCACTACCTATGGACAGCACGTCCTGAGCAGGTGGGGCACAGATACACCTGTGGGTGGGGAAGGATGAGCGCAGGAGTCTCTTGTAGACAGAGGTGGGTGACAACAGTTCAGAAAGGTGTCCTAGAGAAAGTGATCTTGATCACAGCAGGAGGGGATCAGTGCAGTGGAGTAAGAAGAGTTCCCAGTCAGAGAGGTGGGGCAGGAGGGTGCTGTGCTGAGCTGAGTGTGAACAGCAGGCCAGTCTCTCATCTCCCCCTACAAACCACCTTACTCCACTGACACCTCACTGTGCCCCAGCTGCCCAGACACCCACGCACAGTGCCTTCCACTCATCCTCTTGTTTACCTACCCCTACCCTCAACATTTCCAAGCCAGGAAACAGGCTCTATTTGCTCTGTCCTTGCTCCTTAAACTGATTACTTCCACTCTGTGGCCATGGCTACTGTGCTCATCCAGACCTCACCACCTTCCTCCCTGACCTCTTCAGTAGGCTCTGAATTTGGTTTTGGGGCAGGGAGCCAATCAACACCCCTAATACCTGGCTTTGTTTACAGTGTTCCTCACTCCAAAATCTTGCATGGCTCCCTATTGCCTTTAGACTAGAGATCCTTGCCACGATCTAGGATGAAATTGGGGCCACACCATCATCTGAAGCTCTGAAGGGGCGGGAGCAGGTCTCCCTCTACTGCTCTACACCTGCCCTAAAAGGCTTCAGGGCCTAGTCTGAACCCTGGTGCCTTCAGGCCAGCCCCTCCCCATGGCCTGGCACTCAGCTGCCTCTCCTGACTGCTAGCAGCTCCTCCAGACACACTGGCACTTGTCTGCACATGGCTCCAAGAGTTTGATCGCTGGTGTGTCCTCTCTTTGCAGATCTACTGAGAGAAGATGCGCTTCCACCTCTCAGAACGCCTCTTCCCTGCAGCTGGACCTGCTGAAGTGGTAACTGACAAACAAGGCCCTCTAAGAGTGGCTAAGTGAAGGGACAGACCACTGGGCTGATATTTGAGATAAGGTATTTGAGATATTTGAGATAACCCATTTCAAGGTCTGCTTTCCCTATTGTAGGGAAAACATTAGAAACTTGGAAAGCCCAGGGGGCACCATCAGTTTTCAGACCTTTTGACAACTGATAACAATGTTGAGGAATAACAGTCATTAGCATTTTCTGTTGACAGGGAGATTCTCAGCTGTCAAGTACTCTGAGAAACTGGAAGGAATTAACTCAGAGGTTGTACAGCATAGTGGTGTAGGCACATAACTCGGTCACCTGAGTTCAAATCCCAGCTCTGTTACTCACGAGCTGTGCAATCTTGGGCAAGGTACTTAACTTCCCTGTGAGATGGACAGTACGGCAGTCATTGTGAGGATTAAATGAAGGGAAATGTAAGATGTCTCGGACAGCATCTGCACATGATGTTCAACAGATGTAAACTACTGTTATTTTTAATCAAAATTAAAAAATTTTTAGAATATTTTTTCAATTTGATTTGGGGCTTTCTCTGTAACTCCCCCCCACCCCCTTCTATTCTCTATCCTTTCCTTTTTTTTTTTTTACGTTTTTTAAATTTTCAAATTAATATGAGGTACAAATTTTTAGGTTACATTGTTCTCACTTCCAAGGTAAAGTTCAAGTTGTAGAAGAGCCCTTCACACAGGGGGGTGTGCTGAACATTCTTACATTGTGCACATTAGGTGAGATCCCACTAATCACCCTCCCCCCTCCTCCCCCATCTCAACCTTCCCCTTGTTAGACTATATTTATGTTTTATCATTCATGTGGGCTTATAATTTTTATATATTGGTTTCATATTAGTACTGAATACACTGGATTTTTTTTCCATTCTTGAGATACTTTACTAAGAAGTATGTGTTTCAACTCCATCCAGATAAACATAAAAGATGTACAATCTCCATCTTTTGCTATAACCAAATAATATTCCATGCTATATGTATGCCATAGTTTGTTAATCCATTCATGGGTTGATGGGCATTGGGTTGCCTCCACGACTTGGCAATTATGAATTGAGCTGTATCCTTTCCTTTATTATTAACTTCTTCTGCTGCTGCACTGACCTAAACTATTCCCCTTGGGACAATTTCTAAGGGAGGAATGCTGGAGAGGCTGAGGTCTTCACACTCTTTACTTGTCAGGGACCCAAAGATAAAATTTACTCCAAGCACTCTAAGTGTGAAAAGCCTATGGCCAATGGCTCAGGAGGGTTTATAAGACCAGGCATGGGTCTGCCTTACATGGCTTAGTTGAGCAGACTGTTTATAAACGGACTGTTTATAAGTCACCCATTAGAGGTTCTGGGTTTCAATCCCATGCAGGCCTCAGAGGAGCTATTTTGGGTCCCACTTTAGCTGTTGGAACCTCAGTTTCCCCGAGTTTGGAGCAGCCACAGACCTTATATTGTGAAAGCCTGTGTGACTGCATGTGGCCCAAAGACAGAGACTACCTGCCCTCATCCTACCTGGAGAGATCACCACAGTACTTGGTAACCCAATAAATGCTCCCAGCCAAGAGCTTGCCAAGTGGGAGAACCCCACAATGGTGATGGAAAGGCATCCACTCCCCTAGGCCTTTACTCCAGGCTGGTCATACCCCGTGCCCTCCTGTGTGTGGACCTCGGGGTGGGAGAGCCGAACCAGCAGAGGCAGGGGGATGGATGAGAGGATTCTGGGAAGACCCTGCTGATCTGGGCACATCCATGTGAAAAAGTCACCATGTCACCACATTAGAAGAAAACAACACAACACGTTTTCTTCCTTGCTGGCCAATTCCCTCTTCACTCCTTTAGCACTGAGACTCAACAGGCTTGGTTGGTCCAGACTTGCTGTGAGAGATGCAGAGAGGAGAGAGAAACTCACTGGGAGCTGAGGGCCACACTGCTATCTTCAAATGCTTCACTCCAGTCTCTCAGGGGAAGGCAGGCAGCAGATGAAGGGAGGGAGTGGGGAGGGCCCAGCAAGGGTGGTGCAGTGAGAGGAAGGCCAGAGGAGCAGCCTACAAGAACAGTGTTCTGACATCTCAGTTGATCTAGATGCTGTGGGACCTGTCGGACTCTGGCCTCTACTGTGGCCGCCCTCTACCCCTCAAAGGTGAAATGACACCTCCCGGGGAGCTCCTTTGGAATCTGCCCTGGCCAGAGCCATCAGTGTCAGCCTCCAGGACTCCCTTCTGCACTAGCAACCCACCCCTCCACTGGCCACCAGAGCGAGGGTGTGGATGTTGCCCAGACTGGGCGCTCCCCGCCCTAGGCTTGGGATTTACAAAAGCCCTTTAAACGAGATTGAGGGTCCAAGGGAAAATACTCCTCTCACTCCCATCTCCTCTATATCCCCAAGTATATACTGGCCCATCTGAAAACTCCAGACCCCCAAAGGCCACAGATGGCAGGATTTGGGCTCCCTCCCCTCCCCACTACCCAAGAATGTGAAATACCAGCAAACAAAAGTCTCATCCAAATTAGGAAGCGAGCAACTCTGTCTGCCGGAGTGTGTGCTGCAGGGGCTGTTTTGGGTTTTGGCTTCCCCTACGGGTCCCTTCAAACTCACAATCTTACCAAGACTTGAGCTGTTGTTGACCCCACCTGAGAGTTCTGAGCCATCCCAGCATTGCATACCCTCCCCGAACCTGAGATGCTGCTGCTAACCAGCTGTTCACTCGGAGCCCCCGACTGCTTCTGGCCTCAGCGCCCCTGTCTCCAAGCCTGAGAACAGAGGCCTGTGTGTGCCAGAGTTGTTGGGCATTGGCTCAGGCCCAGGCCTAGCCTGGGGACCCACACATGGGGGTGCATGAGAGAGCTCTGCCAGACAGATGCCGAGATGTGGGCATGTGCCCTGTAACCAGAATCTCAGACCTCCTTCCCCAGCAACAGGGCATGCATCCAAGGCCCGGGCGGAAGACCTGTCCTGTGAGTAAGGGGAACAGGGACCAGGCCTCCTGACCAACTGCTGGGCTACAAGCAGCGATCCAGATCAAGGTCCCTGCCCCCACCCTCATTTACCTTCTTGGGAGAGGATGATGAACTTGGTGGTCTTGAGGGTCTTTCCATTCAGCGTCCAGGTGATGGTGGCTGGAGGGTCCGAGGACACCTGGCACTGGAGTAGCAGCTTCTCACCCTCTGCCACATGAATATCTCGGAGCTTTTCCTTGAAGGTCGGAGCTGTCCCTTGGCTCTCTAATCTTTTTTCATTATCTGTGGCCTCTGCTTGCCCTCTCTTGCAGTTCACATCATTCTTAACCTCTTTCTTGAGTTCTTCTTTCCCAGTTGATTTCAGGGTCTCATCAGGCTTGGCATTGACCACGGGTTTCAAAGTTTCTGCAGGCTTGGCATTGCCCACGGGCTTCAGGGTCTCATCAGGCTTGGCATTGCCCACGGGCTTCAGGGTCTCTGCAGGCTTGGCATT